GGTTAATTTGTGTTTTTAATGGTGTATATATCTCTATGGGGCACTTCCTAACTTAAAAAGAGTAGATACCTCATGTTAAAAGTGTCTGAGATACTCATTCCTCTCTCTGCAAAATAAAGATAAATACTCCTTGATCTGCCAAAAGGGGCTGTGTGGGTTTAATTAACGTTTGCAAAGTGCTCGTGGATAGCATCTTTCATCTGAGAGTCTAAAGGCAAAATATATTCTGGGCATTCTTGCTCAGCTTTGCAATTATTTCTCCAGCTGTCGTGAGCTGTGCCAACAAAAACTACTCTCCTGTCATCAAGGGACTGTTGATGCCTTGTGACTTGTTTTGATTCTGATACTCTCTTCCCCCAACTCCTTCTCCCCTCATGCTTGCTACACAAAATATAGCATGCTCTCCAAACCTGGGGGAAAGTATAAAACCTGTTATTTTCCACTACATATTCTTTGTGTCTCAGATTGTGTTGTCTTTCCCCCTCTGTCTGTGCCCTTGGTGGAGGGCAACACTGTCTTCTTTGGGTTTATCCTTTTTTTTTTAATATTGCCATAATTGATTAAATCCCAGTCACACCAGAGAGGCATCCTGGCCCGTGAGCTGTCATCTTTTATTTTAAGGTGATGTGAACTACTAGATGAATTCCTCCATTCCCTGGGCTCAGGTTCCCCATGGTTCGTACTTGAAGCATTTGGGGAGTTAAGACCTAGAGCTTTGGTCTCCCAAATGTTAATTTTATTGCAAACAGTACTTTATGAAGCCTCTTTGTAAAAATTTGTATTACTAATATCTAATTTTAAAGGAGAGCTTGTATGTACATAGCCTTCAACAGAATAATATTAAGCTTAACAATTTTTAGATTAAATAGTTATGGGTTCAACCCAAGTTGAGGTACAGCCTTACTACAAGACTGTAGGCATATCTGTGTAAAAAGGAAAAAGTACCTCTGTTTTCCAAATACGTCTGCTGTTGTTAATACTTGTTGTGGGACCAGGTCCTTGCACTCTGTCATGCTGTCTCCATCTATCCCAACACATACTTGTAGCACCATCATGAGGCTGGTGCTTTGCAGCAGTGGTTGCCCACTGCAGATTTGGGTGGGTTTTTAGGTTGGCTGAGCCTAGACTGCCTACAAGGGAAGTACAGACATGGGGAACTGGGGCTTGGGAAAAGTGGGTACCCTGACCACTCCCCCAAGTCTATTGCTGAAATAACTGCAGCTATTACTGTTATACTTCTGAGCAATAGTACGCATATGATGTAGTGACATAGGGGAAGGGGGAATGACTTTAAACTGACAGGGGAGATTTAGGTGAGCTCTTAGGCAGAACTTCTTCCCTGTGAGGGTGGTGAGGCCTGGTACAGGTTGCCCTGAGCAACTGTGGCTGCCCCATCCCCGGCAGTGTTCAAGGCCAGGTTGGACAGGGCTTGGAGCAACCTACTCTAGTGGAAGGTGTCCCTGCCTGTGTCGGGGTTGGAACTGGATGAGTTTTAGAGTCCCTTCCAACCCAACTATTCTGTGATTCATTAATCCTTACTTAAAAAGCATACAAGATAAAAAGTTTGTCCTTTTTTTTTCCTAACTTGAAGGTGCAAATTATCATTTGAAGTCCTGGAATGTTTAAGCTCATCATTATCTGTGGAAATTAAGGCTACAAAGAAATGACACTAGGAGTAGCTATGTACAGTAACTGTCATCATCCATGTGTGTTAAAGCTACATCTGTTTGCTTTAGCACTTAAACCCTTGCTCCTGTTTGCCCTTTAGATGAAATAGTGCTGTGGGAGAATGAGCTGGAGTCTGTCCCACCACGTGCACCTCTATCAGAAAGTGAGCTACTTCATAGTGACAAATTCTTTTTTTTATTGGCAAGGGTTTGAGAGCCAGAAAAATAAAATGCAGTGCTATAACTTGTTTTTCCTTCTTTAAATTCCAAGTCATACATCACAGAGTACAAGATGTGGTTATTTTCTGCCTGGGGCTTCTGGCTTAAAGGATTCGATGCTCCAAATTGAAATGAATATCCCTGGTTCCCACTAAGGGTGGGAGGAGTTGTGTGACTTCATGAAGATTTGTGTCTGTTTGTTGGTGTGAACTTCACTGTGGAGACGTCTGACTCCCACATAAAGCACAGCAAGCTGCTTCTCCCCAGAAGAGAATTCTGAATTCTGCCACGTGTGTTGTTGATGTTGTTTTTAAATAATAAATCTTAGACCAGTGCACACACTTTACCCCTTCCAGGAGTCTGTGTTTTTTGTTGGGTGAAGATGCTGGTAGCTGAGATGCAATCCAGCACTGCCTCCCTGCACTTTGGTCCCTTAAAGGGGATGGAAAATCTTTAAGTGAATGATGACTTAACCAACAAGTTTGGTTAAAACAAGAAATGAACCCATGTGAGCATACTAATAATCATTTGCTCTTTTAGCGAACTGCTGAGATTTGGGCTTATGACAGCACCTTCCTTGCTGCCCTGGTTTGTGTGTCTGTCATGGAGGTGGTGCACCGAGAGGGGTATTCCTGGTGCTGGTCTCAGCCAGGAGAGGCTTTCTAGTTACCTGGTATTTGGAAATGGTTTTGCTTGGCTGTCTGTTTTGTAAGGGTTGGCTTTTCCCTCCTCCAGACTCCTTTTCCCATTGTGATGACTTCATGTCCTGTTCTTGGCAATGCATGTGTTGGTTGGTTGTGACCAGCAAACCTGAGTGGGGGAATAAAGGACGCTTGGCTTTGAGGAAAGACGTGGAAGAGGAAATGAAGCCAAATACAGAAACTGCACATGCAAAGTTTGTTTCTGCAACCCTGAGCTCTTATTGCATGCAGTTCTTTGGCATAAAGGTCTTCACAGCTGTGGACAAGTTGAGTGAGATGAGCAGCCGGGGAAGCTGTCAAGCCATACCCCTGGACCAGGAACCAAACTGCCTCTCCACTGTGCATCATCTTGTGGTTTTATTGCTGAAAAATGGAGCTCCTACTCTGCTGTTAAGGGACTTTTTGATGTTCCAGTAGAGCTTCATCATCTGAAGAAAGCACAGAATTACATCTCTGGAACGGTAATTCTGTCATTTCAAGCACAGCCTTGTGTATCATTGACAGATAATTCCCCTTTCTTAAAATATGGGGAGCCATCATCACATGTTCCTCTCATCTGCTTTTTAGTTGCTCTTAGCTCTGGGGCTTTTCTGTTCCCGGAGCAGAAGAGATTAACAGGCAAGTTTAGTATCATTTGTTTCCTTACATATGCCTTAATTACAGCACTTCAGAGGAGAGATTTTTCCCGTCTCTCTATCTTGTTTCATTCATTTCATTGTAGGCCTTTCCCCATTTGGGCTGGATTTAATTGGTGAGCTGTGTCTCGGGAACCTCAGCTGGTGTTTTAGTCAGCCTTCACTTCAAAAGTTGAGCGGAAATCCATTCCTCCTGTTTGACCTTTCTGCTGTCTGCCTGCCCCGGTGACCTTTTTCCTAGCAGACTTGCATTTCCAAAGCTTAGTGAGTTATTCCCCCCCACTGCTGTGTCTTGTTTTCCCTAAAGTGGAGTGACTGACTCAGTTCATCCCCTCTAAGCAGTCTCTGTCACTTAAGAGTTGACATAGTAAAGTGAACTTGGAAAACAAATTTATTATTCCTTAATATTTTCAAACTTCTTAGTCTCCTGTTTTTGGGTACTTATTTTTTTTTTTTTAACATAAACCTCCTTATTGAGCTGTTTTGTAAGAGTTTTGTGTCTCGACTTTTAATGGCTGGCTTTTGGGCTTGCAGCACTCAAAACTCACGTATAATAGCCTTAAGCATCATATAATGCTTTCCATTTACAGGTTCTGTAAGCCCTAGACAGCTAGACATTCGCAGCTCCGTGGAAACAGAGCCATCTGGGAGGTGGAAAGACGATTATCGACTAGAATAATAGTATTGCACCTCAGTCTGGGGGTTGGGTTGGGACTGCAATGGGCTGTTTGGAAGAATTGCAGGGAGGTTCATCTGCATATGGATATGCAGGCAGACTAATCTGAATTCAACTTCTTGGGTTCAATTGTTTTAAGTTACGAAATTTAGTTCTTGCTTGGAATGAAATTTGCCTGAAGGTTTGTCTTAATTTACTTCCAGAGTAAATTGAAAGAAGGTCACCTCTGCAAATAGAGGTTTTGTGTGCTTGAACTAATTGGCTTGGTTTAATACCCTTTTAGTTAAAATAGAGTAATTTTCCCTGAACGGCCCTGTAGTGAAGTCAGAGCTGGGTTGGGACCTGGGAATTGTTGCTGTTGTCAAAGGGTTTTTGGTTTGTTTTTATTCATGCACCATTTCTATCCCTTTGATGTGGGCGCACAGGCTGGGTACCACGTGTCTGTATTGCTTACCATGTGTTTGCATGTGGTGAGCTTTCCCTCTGCACAGCAAGTCCACCATATCAGAAAGCTTCCTCGATACTTTTAGGACATTACAATTTTAGTTTATACTTTTCTTGAAATCTACAATGATAACATTGATGTTGCTGTGAAATCCAAAGGTTTTGAAGATGCTTCACAAATTGAAAATGATCTAAACTGAAAGCTTGGGCAGCTCATGGCTCTCTTTTCCCATGGAAAATGCTTTTCCCTTGTGGACATAGTAAAGACTGAATAATCTTGCTTAGAACTTGGTTCTCAGATTTGAGGGTAAGTCTACTTTAAACCTCTTGAATCTACACACATAATTCATCCTTCCTGGCAAATGCTCTGCTGTTGGTTTTCCTTGTAAAATCAATAAATGGAGATAAAGAACAAAAACAAGTGCTAAGATCATTGAGTGAACGGGAGAGATGGTGCGTTTGCAGGTACTTGGAAGAAATGAAATTTAAGCCATTTTTCTCGTCTCAAGCTGCTGTTCTTTTTGTACGTATTGACTTTTAAAATCTTGTTCATTCTCAAGTTCCTGCTAAGAGGGTAACACTTGCACACAGCTGAACTCTAGTGGATGGCCAGTAGGTAAGTATTTGAGCAGTAGAGACCTACAATTTCTCTCAAGCACCACAGATCAAATAAAATTTCTCACTATAAAAGCACCTATACATGCTCTTAATGTTAGACCTCATGTATTTTTATCTTGAGTAGTCATCCTTACTACCTGAATTATGTTACTGAATTTTAATTGTAACCAGCCTAGTTTGATTGTGATGACTCTTTCATAAAATGGGATCTTACATACCTAATATTTGTATGGACAGCTTTGATTGACATCAAGAGTTAGTGTCTCAGCATGGAGACACTAATTCAGCCTATGAGTAAATACATGAAGCTTTGTAGGAGTTGCATGGCCGTTGTATGCAGCTATCAGTTGTCACTGGCACTGTGATAATGCTCTTTTGTCATGAGGATTAAAATTATTAATTTGGGAAGGGAGCCGTATGAAATAATTATTTTGCTATCAGATAAAGAATAAATGGGCTTAGTAGACAAGGTTTAATTAGCCTGATAATTTAGTCTGGTGCTGACCTGCTTTTAAATTGTAAATGTTTATATTCTTTCAGTTATTTTTGTTTAGTTAATAAACTAAATATAGCTGGAAACTTCTGTACCGGTTTCCTTTTTGCTGGGAACAGACATAAAGCAAGAGCCACCCCAGCTTACATCCAAGCAAGTCCTGTGATGAGCCTCTGGAGGAAGCACCTCACTTCTCTGTCCAGGTGCCAGTTGGTCTGTGCAACCCAGGCTGCAGGAGCTGCAGAAATACGTGGTTCTTTTCTCCTCTCCTCTCATCTCATGCTCATCTGTAAGCACTTAAAAATGCATGCAAGGATTTGATCGTGGGTCTGCTGTTTTTCAGTGCTTACAAAAGCTGCTCCAGGGCAGGACAGTGTGGTGTTGGCAGAACTTCCTGAAGGGCATTCTCCTGTGTCGGTGGCTTAAAGAAGACCCAGTGCTGCAGCACAAACATTTTGGAAGATGAAGGCTGAGCGCTGCAGACAAGGGGATGGACAATGTGGCAGTTCTTAGCACTCCTTCAGTGTTGTGTGCTGGTTTCAGAGCAGTTTGGATATACAGTTTCCCTTTTAGAACAAAATTTAACCTCCTTAGGAATTCACATCTGTAAGACCCGCTGGGTTCAGCCTTCAAGTTCACCTTACTTGAATGGAATTTCTCCTTTAAAGAATACGGGGCTCTCTAGACTAATACAGTGAAAGCAAGTTACTTTGTTTTTTATTCCTCTTTACTGCTACTTCACAGTTTCTGCAGTCTGGAACCCCCTCCTTCTAGAGGATAAATAAAATCAAAAAGAGATCGGAGACCTTCAGTCTTGTGGTGGTTCTTTGCAACATCAGGTGCTTATCAGAGATGTGCAGAGTGGAACAGATATCTCTGATGTTAAAGTTAAGGCCACCAGTTTTTATCTGTGTGGCCAGTGTGTGTTGATTGCTTGAAGTGTTGCAAATTCCAAAGTTAAGTGAAATTACTAGGAAATAACCATTAGTTAGGTCAGCTAAATGTCTGAGTTACACCCCTGCTTCAGAAAGAGCAGACTGCTGTGTGTGTGATGTGGGCAGCACTTCTTGTACATAAATACCTTTGGAATTGACATATAAATGTGTGGGAAGGAACTGTTGTGAATAGCTTCGTATGGGGTAAAGTACCTGTGCATAATTTTCATGGAGTGTTATATGCAGGTGTTCAGCCTTTTCTGTTTAGTTGACCCTGGTGATCTCCTGTGGAGACATTAAGATTTCATAGAATCACAGAATGGTTTGGGTTGGAAGGGACCTTAAAGCTCATCCAGTTCCAGCCCCCTGCCATGGGCAGGGACACCTTCCACTAGACCAGGTCCCACAAAGCCCCATCCAACCTGGCCTTCAACTGCCCGGGATGGGGCAGCCACAGCTTTTCTGAGCAACCTGTACCAGGGCCTCACCACTCTCACAAGGAACAACTTCTGCCTAAGATCTCATCTCAATCTCCCCTCTGTCAGTTTAAAGCCATTCCCCTTTGTCCTGTCCCTACAGGCCCTTGTCAGCCACTGGAAGCTGCTCTAAGCTCTCTCTCCCTGGAGCCTTCTCTTCTCCAGGCTGAACAAGCCCAGCTCTCTCAGCCTGTCTCCATAGCAGGGGTGCTTCAGCCCTTGGAGCATCTTCATGGCCTCCTCTGGACTCCTTCCAACAGCTCCACATCCTTTGTATGCTGGGGGCCCCAGAGCTGGACACCAGATTGCAGGGGGGTCTCGCCAGAGAGGGAGCATCCCCTCCCTTGACCTGCTGTTCACACTGCTGGTGATGCAGCCCAGGACACGGTTGGTTTCTGGGCTCAAGTGCACACTGCTGGGTCATGTTGAGCTTCTCATTTGCCGACAGCCCCAAGTCCTTCTCCTCAGGGGTGCTCTCAATCCATTCTCCACCCAGCCTGTGTTTGTGCTTGTTGTGTTTTTAGCAAAAGATGTGGTTGTGTGGAAGTCAAAGCACAAGGGTTAAACTTACTTATTGGGAATTGCAGTTACTTTGCATGGAAAAATTTTGGATCAAGGTTTGTCGTCCTCAGTTTGAGCAAAGGTGAAGCTGGCATTTCAGTCCATGCTAGTTCCTGCCTTACTTAACCCAATTGCTTCTGCTGAAATGTTTCCATCATGTCACATTTCCCAAGTTGTGGTTCCCTTCCATGCAAGGGAAATTTCTTTGGAAAAGTCTCTGTTGTACAAAGTGTGTGGTGCAAATTGAGAGAAGACACAGAGCTCCCTGTGTTGTATGAAACGGAGGCACTTTAATTGAAGACAGCAACACTTTGCGTTAATGGCATACAGCTGCTTGTCATTGCACATCTTTGTGGCACATTGAAGCAGTTGGATGGCAAACATCAAAAAAGACGCAGGTCTTCAAGAGAATGGGGGGAATGGAGGCTGTCAACTCTTGAGTGTTTATTCAGATGTGCACACTGTCTGTAGTGCTCTTGTTCCCTAATGATGGCTCTGCCTGTGATTCTGGGATGAATCAGAACACGATTTAAAAGAACTCAGGTCTGAGTGACTGAAACTCTCAGGGGCTCCAGTTATGCCTATCTGCCTTGGAGTGATCCCCACGAGCCACGTAGGCCACATCTCACTGCCGCTCTGAACAGCAGATCTGCCGAGGAATGGGCTACTGTGCATGAAGCCTGAACAAATGGTTCATTTGCATGGTTAGTTCATGTGTTTGCAAAGCCTGTTTCATGCTATAAAGTGCTAAGCTTCATCTCTGATGAGCAGGTGTTTGGCAAGGAAAGAGACATCACACCATCAGCTGGGATGAGGAGGAATCTGCTACCGGAGTGTTGATTCAGAAGTTGTGGCTGGTGTTCAGGAAACTTACTTGAATACTTTCCTGAAGTTCTTTGCTTGCAAATGAAACAAGAGAACCTGCTGAACTCAGAGTCTTGCGCTTATAAATGGTGCTGGGCAGCAGGATCTGTTTCTAGGAAGAGGCTGGTGATAGGATTAACTGGGCAAGTCTGAGGAAGGGTTGAGTCCTGGGTCCTCTCAGCTTTGTGGCATTGCTGCCCTGCAAATTAACCAGTGTTTCCTTGGCTCCTCATTATTACAGAGTTATCGTTTAGCCTTTTGTTCTTCGCAAAGTCTACGTTAGTACTGAGCTCTTGAGCATGACTCAGAATAAAGCCACAAGTAAAAATTTGCCTCAAAGTAAAGCCATAACTTCAGACCTCATAAGCTGGTATGAATGGGCTGTTGGGCTTTGCAGTGATTTAGGGTTATCCTGGAAAACCTGCTTGTGTACCGCATGCTTCTGAGTTAGCAAACGGCCGAGGCTCTTTTCCTCTCAATCAACGCTGTCCTGTTTTCCCCAACTTTATTCTGCCTCCACATCTGTATTGCTTGAGTGGTGGCTCTGGCTCAAGGTCTGCTGGGGCTGTAGGTCCATGTAATGCCTCTTGCTGTGCTTGCTGTTTCTCTTTAGCATTCCCATGTACTTGCGTGTGGGTTTTTGTTTGGATTGGCGAGCGTGAATGGTCATTTTCTAAAGCTTCCTGCAGATTTGAAAGCTTTCATCTTGAAAAAAATGAAATCTTTCTGCCTTTTCATCCTGGCAAGAACACAGGGAGGTTTTAACATTACGGAGATACTGGACAAAAGATACTATTGGAAGGCGAAGGGGCAAAGTGAGATTTCCTGAACGCAGCCTTGCTCTCACTCTGCCTTCACAGAACACAGTGGCAAAACCAGCAATTATTTATGTGGAAGTTGGAATGGTCTCAGAAGGTCCCACTCATACTCTATAGTGCATTTTCCAGCAAGATTCTGGAGCTGTGGGAGGTGTGTACAGCAGCAGCCCAGGAGATGGGGTTGCTGGCAGGTTGTGCGTCCCTTTTGTAGGGATAAGTAGGTCAGTGTTACCAAGTGGTACTCATGACACTTCACCCTGAAAGCAAAGCAGAGCTGCTGGACTGTTTTCTGGCCACTTGCTTCATTCAGTGTTAGGTGTTTTGCCTTCAAACTGGCACATGATGATTTAAATCTGTACAGCACATTGCTGTGGCCCTGCCTTTCTTCCAGGGGTCTGAGCTGTTAATCCTGTACATGACAATTAACTAATTGGATCATGGTGCTGTTGGTGAGTGTGGATATGCAGAAAGTGGTGGGAGAAGATGCAAAAGAGGGGTTCCCGTTTCTGCTGCAACCTTTCTTTGTGGATTGTATCCCTATCCATGGCCAGGGGGTTGGAACTAGATGATATTTAAATTCTTTCCAACTCAAACCATCGTGTGATTCTGTTATTACCTCACAATGCTTTTCTGGTGTTGGAGCTATTCTGAGCAGTTAAAATATCTTCTCTCAACAAATTGCAGTTGATGTAGTGCAAGAATTTTGACCTGGAGAGTATACCATTAGTAAGTGTTAGCCCTCTTTTTGAGGACCTCAGAGCATTTTATAAAGAACCTCCCCTGCTCTGCCCCCTGCAAAGGGGCAAAAGATCCTGGGTACTAGAATACATTTACTTCCAAACCAACCTCAAACTTCAGAGCTACATGAATGAAGTGTCAGAAATAAGCACCTTTTTCCTCCTTCCTTTTATTGTGTTTAAGCGTAGGGGTTCTGCCCCCATATTTATTTACTTCTTTATTTTTAAAAAGCTTCATGTTTGACTCAAATTGAAGTGATGGAGCCAGAAGGGCTTCACTAAGAGTTCTTGCATATTCCTGCCATGGCTCGCTCCCACACTTAGGTTTTATTTCAGACCCAGAGCTATGAAATAATTTAAGCCAGACCAGCAAAAGGTGCTGAATTTTTCCTGTCTCCCAAGATCATTTTCTGAGACTATCAAGATGCATGTCCTCAAAGAAGCTCCCTGGTACTGTGGGTCTAAAGGCATGGCTCGGCATGGTTTCCTCTTTCATCTCCATGAAAGTGGGGTGGTTGGAGGGTGCAGATCAATCAATTTTATGTAGTTAAATCTTTTGGTCATGTCACAGACAAATTTGTAAGATGCTTTGCATCCTGCTGAACAGGAAGTTGCTCTTGATTATATTTCTAGTCTCAGTTGCTATTTGTAACCTATGTGATCCCTTGGGAATTGCTGAGGAATGCTGCAAGCGAGGGAACCAGAGCAGATGAAGAATTAATTCCCTGAGGTTGTGTGGAAGGTCTGAAACACAGCTGGGGAATAAAACCCCAGTCACCCGACACCCCATCCCTTGCTTTAACTACTGTACAAGAATTTCCTCCTACTGTGCCTCTAATAGAAACTGCAGGGCCAAATTAAGTGGGCAGATTGTAATCACTGCTGCCAAGCTATCCCA